ACGAGATACTCATAAATATTTTAATAGAAAACACGTATGATAGGTACATTTTTTTGGATGTGAGGTTGTGAAAAAAATAAATTGTTTTGTTGAGCGTGTCTACTCAGCAATAATATGTGGACAAATACTTTTTCACTTTTATTGAATGTATTTTTTGTATTTATACACAATTTCGTCTATTAATTGGTACTAAGAGCTTGTTTTATATCTTCATATTTAACTCAGCAATCAAATTTCGCCCATTTCAGAAGGTCACGAGCCACTGCTTAGTATTTTGTGAATCAATTTCAGTTCATTTTATCGTACAAATCAAAATAATTATGGAATCATAACAAAAAGATCCAAGAAATTCGTTACATGTTACTTATCTAGCAGGCCATGACTAACTGTCAAAATAATTATTTGCAAAGAATATGTAATAAATTTATTAATGTTCTTTTTTATTGTAATTACGTAATTATTTTGTTCGGTACGATAAAACTTATTAACACGGTCCAAAGTTTTTAGCAAGTAAATCCCAATGGCCAGTATAAAATGTCAATGACGTCATCAGAGTATTATATTGAAACATACGCATAGTGGAAACCGGATTTGTTTAAGTGTACTTCAGGGGCGATACAAATTCTGTCTAAATAACTTTAAATATATTTTTTTTGTACTAATGATATTTGTATCAACTTAAAAATCTCAATTTGTGTCAATCTCTTCACTAGTCTTCTTAAACCTAACTAAAATTGATTGATCAGAGAACCAATTTTGTATATATTTTTTACAAGAACTTTGATATTTGATTCCTCACTTTGTACTACTTGCTGATCATATTAACTTTTATAAGTTTCGCACCACATCACCACAATGCAAGCGAAGTTGAAATTTTGTCTTTTTGGCTAAAGTTACTTTGGCTAGTATAAGAGTGTCACTAATTTCTTTGAGGATATGATTTCTTCTTCATGTACCAACAGGCCTTATCCCATCACGTATGGCTCAAATATTTTAATGCTAGACCATTAACTTATTTTTAAATTATGTTCTAATGCCAGGTATGTAGGTAGAAGAAGAAAAATAATTATATATTGAGTGCGGCATCACTGCCAGTTAGCGTGGAAAAACGTAGAATTTTGGCCCAAAATTAATTTTTGTAAAACAATATTTTTCTTTGTATATTCCAACAATTGTTTTAAAATTACTGTCGCATATTTTTTAATTCTAAACTCTCTAATGGTCTCAATATAAATAAATTCGTTTTTTCAGATCTGCCTATTATGTTCAGTTTCGCCTGTATCACGAATACAGTTACTCTGTAGTATATTAATTTCAAATTTCTTTGACAATGTTATCTTCAGTTGACTCTCAACATTTCGACTGAACACTATGTAAAGTCGAATGCAGAACGAAAGAGGCTAGGGGCGGGGCTTGTGATGCGTAGCTTCTAGATCACAATGGTGCAACGATAGATACAGTAAATATTATGTATCTTCAAAAAATCATTGCGATTTTCAAATATTAAAAAAATCTAAATTTTATAGTCACATTACTAAAACCATTACTATTATTTAGTAAATGTGGCAGTAATAATATATTCTAAGTCTGGGTACACACCACTGCAGAGACGTTCTTCCTTTCGGAGGAACAATATTCTTCAACATGTTTACAGGATTCAAATAATTTTTGAAGTATTACTTCCATTAATATTAATAGTTTATTTTGTTAAACTGTGAACATATTCCGTCTATGTTATAATTTTGAAATTGAGTAACCCTAATTTCGTATTTTTTGAAATTAGGCAATTCAAAAGATGCCGCCACTTGTTAAAATCTTCACTAACAAATTTAAAATTTATTAATGATCTTTATCGAATAAATTACGACAAAACCAGAATGAAGAAGAATTTTTTTAATATAAAACTATAACTTTTATATTTTTCATTATTTTTTAAAACTCTACCATGTATCTACTTCGTAAGTAGTATTAGAGGGTTCCACAAAGCAAAATCCTTGAAAATGTTCAGACAGTGGTCCCTAATCGTTTCTTCTTATTCACATTTGTCTTTATTTCTAGCTGTACCACTATGATGTAGATAACAATGCAAATTCAGGTTAATCGCTGACTCTTATGAAGCTGAATCATTTATGACTTGTCTGAATTTTTTTCATTTCAAAAGTTTTGGAAGTAATCTGATTATATGTATTTTTAATTGCTTTTGAAAATTCTACTTCTAACAACGAATGTAAGATTAACCCTATTGAAAGTTATATGTCGACAAATTTTTAATTTTATTTGTTAGCAAAATACCTATCTATACATATGTAATACGTGAGCGAAATTAAAAAGACTGATACAACTATAAAATGTTTTCAGGATTGCAACTGGAAGAAATAAGAATAACATCTAAAGTTGTCGGAGATTTATTTAGTAATTTTTCATACTTAATTAAATCCACTGTTTTTATCACGCTTTTATTAGCTTGGGTTGTATGTATCTATGTATGTATGTATGTAACGGAATCTTTGAGCTTAATTTTCATCGGTTTCTAAAAGTCTGATCATCTTGAAACTTTGCACACGTCTCAAGGATCGATGACAATGCAATAATTTGATAACAGTTTCCCATTATCCTTATTAGGACCGCCAGGATCCTCGATCCTACGGAGACCACTGAGTGGTTCTTTCTAGAAAAATCTAAATAAGTAATTAATTCCCCAATTTATGAATTTGTCGCAGACTAAAAAATGAAAAATAAATAATAGTTTAAAAAACTAAAAAAACACGCTTTTATTGGTAATCGAACTAAAAACTAGAAAATAATTTTTAATGACAGAGTTTAATATTACAGTAGTAGAAGATCAAACAATCAATCATAATAAATCACCTCAAATTAAAATTATAATAAAATTTAAGTTATTAACAGAATAATTCAATTCAGAGTAAAAAGCGTGGGGTGCATTTTACTGCGGTTCATAACTATCCTCTCATAGATAGTTGCCAATAGAATGATTGTACCTAATATTTAAAATATCAAGCACCCCACGCTTTTTACTCTGAATTGAATTATTCTGTTAATAACTTAAATTTTATTATAATTTTAATTTGAGGTGATTTATTATGATTGATTGTTTGATCTTCTACTACTGTAATATTAAACTTTGTCATTAAAAATTATTTTCTAGTTTTTAGTTCGATTAGCAATAAAAGCGTGTTTTTTTATTTTTTTAAACTATTATTTATTAAAATACTGGGAGAAGTCACATGGATTTTTCTTAGAAAATCAAAAATATTGATCGGTTTATACGGTTGATTTTAAAAATCCATGGCCTACTAAGATATCAAACATTAATGAAAGCCCTGTATGGAGATGGTTCCCTGTATATAACTAGCTCTAGAATTCCACAAGGAATATGGTTCTTTATTATTTTAAATTTCTATTCCTCTGTAATCGGATCTAGCCGTCATTTCTCATTTGGTTCCTCATTTTCAAGTTATATTGGGACCAACTTGAAATAGTCCACAGGAAATTCTTGAAATTTCTGTTTTTTGTACCTAATTAATGGAAACTTTTCGACCAGAAGATCTAACCGTGAATTCTTGTTGAACATGTTTAATACAATTCTTTGCGTGCTTGTCAGGTATTAAATTTTTATATACATGGGTTAATGTCAATATGGATTGTTCGTGGGTGTTGGCGCAGCTAAATTTGTCCTTTCGGGATCGGTGTTGTTTTTACCTGTTTAAATTAATATTATTTCCTGTGATTAGATCTGTTGAAAATCATTGGTTATTATCATTATTATGATTATTACGTGTTTTGTTTTGTTTAATTTTTACTTTAGACCTTTCATCAAAATTATTACAGTGCAAAAGTCTTGTAGGGGCTGTCAAGTCCCACAAAATTGTATAGCTTTTGTATATTTGTACATATATATAATCTGTATTTAATTATTTCCCAGTATCACCCCGAAACTTTCTCTTCGTCCACCTGCATGTCGTAAAACCTATCTTTTGTTCACCCTTCTCAGTAATACTTATCCTTTCCCAGATTTCAAAATCCCTTTTTTTTCATTTCAATTTCACAAACTCCAAGACTCTTCCTTCAACCGCCGTACCGACAACATCAAAATAAAAACGCCAAAACGCAAGTACTGTTTCAATCACCTGATCACCCCACAGTCTATTGCAATTGAACCTTAATTTTCCGTACAATACTCAAATTGTTTTTTTGATCAATAAAATCGAAAGCCTCATTCATTTGTATGAGTAATTCTAAAAAATATTAATGTCCTAATAAACAACAAGTATAAATTCATAATATTTTACATATTTTAGATCACATTTATTCGTCAAAATTTTGAGATGACGTCATCAGTTTTTTGGGAGGTGATAAATGGATACATTTTGATTAACAACTACGCTTGCGATGACCTTAAAACGTTTGCGAGATTTCAGAGCAGTAAGTTTTCCAGTTCCAAAGTTAAATTGCAAAATGTTAGTCTTGATTTTTTTTCTCCAAAAATCTGGATCTTTAGAGTAAAAGAGTCAACACGGATTTATAAAAGTTTAAGAATATCTTATTTTATAAAATTTAAATAAGATTTACAATTATAAATTTAATCGATCCGATAGTTTCGAAGATTAATCTGTCTAATAAAAATCGACATAGGCGAGAGACGACAAACGGAAACGGGAGATCCATTTTTTCCTACTCTAGGGACCATAATTATAATACTTCCTTAGTTTACGCTCGGTAAAAATCAAGTGTTTTATTCAAAAACAACACTAAATTAACAATTTTTTTTTTTAAATTTAATAACAATTCAATTTAATTTGACGAATTATTACGAGTATGTACTTTTTATTTCACTCCACTTATCCTCTTATGCTAATTATTGATAAATCATCTCCAACATAATTTGAACTGTATTGCTAAAATTTTGCAGTTTTCAACTGAACTTATTTATTTTATTAATAGTAAAAATGAACGATCCGTTAATGAAGAAAAGAAAAACAAAAGTACAAAACTTTTATTTCATATTGTATCTATACATTATACAAATGTTACGGAAAAAATAAAAATACGGCAGTGTTAAGTTGTCACGTTAATCTGAAATTACGTTATAAATCTATAAGTAGATACAATAAATTTACAAAAATAAATCACACATCTATCATACAATCAATAACCTAGTTAATCTATTTATAGCACCATTTTATTCTGCAATATACGCTCCAATTTACTTATAAGTATTTTTAGAAAACAATTACATCTAACTGTAAACCTTATTCGTCATCCTGATCTGCAATCTCTTCGCACCTATCCTCAATTTCATCTTCATCCAACTCCAGACATTGAGCCCACTCTTTAATATTGATTCTGTGATCATCGTTGGCGTCGCACGAGTCCAAGAACGGTGCAATACAATGTTCCAAAGCCATCAACGGGGCACGAATTGGGAACAGTTCGTGACGAGATACAGATCTAGACTCAACAACAATTCAAATAGAATACAATTACCACAAAATACTAGTACAGCAAACCTGTCTGGAGGGAAGCCATCCAAATCGCAGAATTTCCAAATAGCTGCGTTGGTCCAGCGCCGGGTCATATTGGATTCGGCTTCGCGTTCCATTTTCAAATAATGAGGAGTCAGTTCTGACCTATCGGCCAAATCTCTCATTATGTTGAAAAGCCAATCACGCATCCTGCGCGGGAAGTCGGCCATTTCGTCTTTCGTGCATTCCTAAGTTCAATATTACTTTTGGGGAAAATTTTGGGAATTGGAGAAACTTACTCGCATCTCTCTACATTCTCCGTAGTATTCGATGTGGATGTGTTTGTATTGTTCACCTTTGCACTCAGAGTCCCCTTTGTTGCACAAGCAACGTTGTTGGTATACGGCACAGTCAGAAGTCCAGGTTTCGTTGTGGTTGGAGCATACTTTCCGGCGAGATTCTGTTTCTATGGGGCATGTGGGGATGCAGACGCATTGGGGTTCGCCCTCTTCGTCTACCTCGCACACTCTACCAGCGCCGCAGTGGACTTTAATGCAAGGATCTAGAACAGAACGAGCAATATGAAATTTAATGCAGTTTGTTTGTTGTAAATATTCAAGTTTCTTTTTCTTATTAGAACAGTTGAAGTAGCAAGCGACCGTGCATTTTGGGGTTTCGTAGAGAGCTTGTGCGTGAGTACAAAACTGACTTTTTTGGAATCTTGAAAATCAAGATGCAATATTTATTTATTTATTTCCGCAATCTTGAGTTTGACAAAAAAATTGTAAGAAGCATTTTTGTAGATGATACCTATATAATTACTTTTATTCACAACCTTTGGCATAACAGTAATACAAAATTAGTCGAAAGCTATTGCGACAGAACATCCCTAGCCCCTGAAGTATCGTCCAAGAAATCCTGCTTCTTTGAAAAATGATAAAATTTGATTTTGCGAAATTTTGCTTTTTGTGACAAGCTCGATGGACTAAAAACAATATAGAAGTACTAGACATGTGTAAGAGAAAAAAGATTTGACATTCTTAAAAAAAGGCAGTTGGGGCCGCGAGAAAGTTTCCCATTCTTTAAATTTGCGGTCCCCAAGAAGGTCTTCTTTAATAAAAGACAGTTGGAACCCCTGAGAAGGTTTCACATTCTTCCTTAAAAAAAGACAGTTAGGAGTCCCGAGAAGGTTTCATATTCTTAAAAAAGATACTTGGGCTCCCCGAGAAGGTTTCGCAATTAAAAAAAAAAAAAAAAAAACAGTTGGGGCTCCGGAGAAGGTTCCACATTCTTTAAAAAAAAAGACAGTTGGGGGCTCCGAGAATAATTCTTAAAAAAAGACACTTGGCTCCCCCGAGAACGTTTCACATTATTAAAAATAAAACAGTTGGGGCCCCCGACTAGGTTTTAGCTTCTTCAAAAAAAAGACAATTGAGGCCCCCGACAGGGTTACACATTCTTAAAAAACCCATTGTTGCCTCCAAGAAGGTTTCAGATTTTTAAAAAAAGATGATTGGAACGCCCGAGAAGGTTTCAAAAAAAGTACTCATTCGTCCGATGGATTCGGTTACTATACTTCCTTAGCTTACGCTCGGGCAGTAAAAAGACAGTTGGGGCCCCCAAGATTAAAAAAAACCAGATGGAACCCTCGAGAAGATTTCGTAAAAAAAAAGGCAATTGAGGCTCCCAAAAAGGTTTCATATTCTTAATAAAAAACACAGTTGGGGCCCCCGAGAATGTTTCACATTCTTAAAAAAAATACGGGACGAAAGCCAAACTGACAGACGGACAGACAGACGGAAACGGGAGACCTATTTCTTCGTACTGTAGAGGTCGAGAAAACGTAAAAGTAGAGAATCGGTCGGCAGATGCTCAGGAAGTAAACAGTTGGGACTCCCGAGAAAAGAAAAAGCCTCTGAGAAGGTTTCACTTTCTTAAGTTGGGACTCCTCTGGAAAAGGTTTCACCATCTTCAAGAAAAGACAGTTGGGACCTCCGAGGTGGTTTCACAAAAAAAAACCGTTCGAGCCTCTGAGACGGCTTCACATTCTTAAAAAAAAAGTTAAAGCCCCGAGATTTCATGTTCTAAAAAAATTTTGGAATTTTTTTCGACAGACATTTCTTCGCTCTTGAAGTGTAGTCCGACAAAACCCGTTTGTTTAAAATATCGTAAAATTTGATTTTGTGATTTTCGTTTTGTGAAGTAAAAACTAGTGGCCTAATTAACACCCCGCGGTTCGCACAACTGTGGACAACATTAAATATACCTATTTAAAGCAGATAACCAAAGAGAAAAAATGTAGATATATTCAATTTCTCAGTACATGCTTAATTTCGTGTTTATGTTTATACTTAAATTCAACTATTAGCACGTTCAGATTACAAGCATCGGCGGCTAAAATGCAATGAAATTGAGAGAACTGATTAATCATACTCAGTTTTTTTTTCCCAAAAACACTCATAAATTTCAAATGTCGTTATAAAATTTTATAAAATATAGAAACGGATTGATAAACCATATGTAGAGTATCTTGTTTTATAAAACTAAAATCATATTTATTAATGTACATTTTGGAGATGATATCGTCATATTGTTGGTAAGGACATTTATCCAAAATTTTCATTAGCATTTTACCATCTACATGATACTCCTAATACACATATAAAATTTGACAATAAATCGGTTTATTATCAGTTTAATAAAAATCACAGACAGACGAAAACGAAAGACCTATTTTTTTCGTACTCTAGGTCATGAAACGTCGAGAAAACTTAGCCTACGCTCAGGAACTAAAAAGTTAAGAAAAATTGGGAAACAGGGGACGAAAAACTAAGAGATAAGATGACTCTGGTATTTTCAATTCTGCAAAAAGGGGGATTTATTTTAGATTCCATATTTATTGGGGAATGAAAATGGAACTGAAAGTAACGCTCTTAATGAGCGAATTATAATTACCCACCTGTATAAGAGTGCATAAAGCACAAACATCAGCTGTACTTAATGCTGTTTTAAAAGTTGTTACACGTTTTTCAGAATTTTTAGAAATTTGAAATTTTTAGGTTTTGTTTTAACATATTTGATTTAATTTTGTCATATTGTGAATATTAACCTTGAAAATATATTCAGGGGTTCAGGATTTGAAATTAGACTTTGTACAAAACAGATATGACTTCTAGAGGTTTTCTAAGAATGTTATTTTTTTTTTTTAATTTACAATTGTATAAAAAGGAAAAAAGTCAAGGTTTTTAACATTTTTTTTTTATACATATACCATATATATTAATTTTTTTCAAAATTTTATTGTAGGAGCTTTAGACAGTTTTCACCGACGCTGCATTTTCCAAAAACACTGTTCTAAAGTACAGGATTCATAAAACTCACCTCTATTGGCAAACACTGACAAATCATAAGACATAGTAAGTAATCTTCGTTTATGAGGAAATGCATAACTTTCTTATTATTTATGTTACTCTGAAAAGTTATTATGAAAAGTTGTAGATAACTGTATTAACCACAAAAATCCTCCTCATAAAATATAATGATAGCACCCCCAGTCGCGAAAACTCAGTTTTACACTTACGTCTGACCCCCTACTTAACCCACTGTTGCCTATTTAACGCCGGATTGCGTGGAATTATTCGCTTAGCATCCTTGAACTATAATGACCGGAAAATGAACGGAGCGGCAAAATCTGGCACACGAATATAAATCTAAAATAAAACTATGCTTACAAAATCAGTTGTTATGTAAAACGAGGTATGTATGTTTCCTGTGTTATGGCTCAGTTAAAATTTAAAAATTGAGAGATTCCAATTTAAAATTTCGTTTTTATTTCCAGAGCGTAGGCTAGAAAAGTACTGAACAGGGTCGTGCATCTAGCGAGAAGTTAATTTCATGTTTTCTCGACGTTGCACAACTCCTAGAGTATGAAAAAGTAGGTTTCCTGTTTCCGTTTGTCTGGTGTCTATCTACCTGTTTGTTCTCTGTCGTCTGTTGGCGGTTTTAGTAAACAGATAATCTTCGAAACTCCTTTGTTTTTCTTTCGTATCAGTACATTATATTACTGTTAGCAGAATTGTTTTAAGGTATTTGTATTATAACTATGTATTTTTTTTTTAAGTAAGAATGGATAATTTACTTCAAAAGCAATTTACAAAGGTAAGTTCTGCAGCAGTTAATGGATACGTTTACATTTTTCGACTAGAAGTAGCACTGCTCTTTCAAGTTAGGTGATAAAAAAGTTTCAAATTAGGGTAGTTATGGATTTATTTTTAATTTCTTGGATTAAAACTTACACGTAGAAATTTAAACTTTTGTCTACAATAAATAAATGGGCGAAAATTGCGAAAGATAATTTCATGGTGTTACTTTAAATTCGCTGTTCCAACAGTAAATCATTTGAATCGTCCATTTTGATTTTAACATATCCAATTTGCTGACATTGACATTTGTAAGATTTACCGGTTTAATCAAAGAAATGAAAAACACTTTCGCCGCGTACCCAAATTTAAAAACTTTTTGATAATCCATTATATGATGAATTGATTCATGAGTCATGAAAGACAGCCAAAGATGTTGAAAAACAAATGTGAATAACGCAACAACGGAAAATTAGTCTGAGCTGTTTAAATAGAACTTTTTTCTCTTCTGAATTATAGTGAAGCTAAACTATACAAATTTCTACATGACATTCTTTCGATGTATAAACATAAACACTCGAAGTTAAGCATGTTATTATTTCTTTCTATGAAATTTCGATCAATTCGATTTTTTTGTTACGATAACCCCTATAAATTAAAATAAAAATGGAGGCAGATTATTGAAGCAAACGTAAAATAATATGGTACGCACATGTTTCAAAGGGATTTCCTACTGTATTACTAGAATTTCAGAAATTGATATAAGAATTTTTGATTTGTTCACTAAAATAAATTGCTTCATTTTATATTTTTTCAAGACACCTTTATAAACAATACAAAAAACAGGAACAGACGAAGAAAATATTTCTTCAAAAGTATGTTTTTCTGAACATTACAAGTCAGACTGGCTTTGCAAAATTTTGAGATTATGTCATCAAGTTTTTGGAAGGGAGGGACAGATCCATTACTATCATCAACTTACTATTGTGTTTCCAATAACCAAAGTCCATACAAAATTTCTAGGTAATCAGGTTTGTAGTTTCTAAGATAATTCATAAAATTTAGTTTTATTATTTTGATTTGTTTTCCAAAAACTTACATGTATAAATAATGTTAAGGATAAGCCTGAATTAATAAACCATAGCTATAAGAACACGTTGTTTTACATATTTTAGGTATTAATTACTTAGCAAAATTTTCAAGTCATCATTTTGACGAGCAGACAGATAGACGGAAATGGAAAACCTGCTTTTTCATATTCTAGGAGTTCTAAAACGTCGAGGAAAAATGAAATAAGCCATTTGTTGAATGAATCTATTATAACACTTCAATGAAACAGGGTATGGTAAGGGAAGAAGGAAAACTGGGAAGAATGTAGGCAAATAACTTATATACATTTATTTTTACACTCTACATATTTTGCATATTCTCATTAGCCTCTTAAAAATATTTTAACAAGCTTATTTAACAAGCTTAACTACAGTTTACTTTTGAAATTCCGATGCAACGTTGTCACGTTATTCCAATTTTCGTGAAAATTTTTGGCAATAGAAGGGTTAAAAAATCGCAATAGGCTTATTTTTAAAATCTGTCTTACAATATTTTGTGGAAAGATAAATAGAGGTACACATCTTACGGTGGTGTCAATTAAATTAAATTTTAATATAAGTACTGAGTGTTTATAACGAAAATCTAAACTTTACAACTATCAGATATCACTATTTCAGTTTTTTCAAATAGAACACCTGTATTTTATTATTTTACTCTATTTTTTGTTCTCATTCTTTTAATATGTCGATGTGTTTTGAAAAAGTAAAAAAAAATGTCTTAACCATCAACTTTAAACATAGAAAACAGTTCACTAACACCAAATTTGTTTCATTTTAAAAACAAACCTACTGCGATTTTTTGTGAACCCTTCCATTGCTAAAAAATTACAATCGTACAACTGTGGTCTTTATTGCTAATAATTAATCAGATATCGAAGAACGCGCGCTTAATGACTCACCCTGTATATTTTCTAAGTGGCACTAATACTTTTCTGTTAAATAATATTTAATTGAGTACACATGTTCTATAAAGGCAGCAATATGTAGAATTTGCATACATTTATTTGGATCTTGAAAATACAAAAGTGCACAGCATTGTACATATATCTAATAAATTTTGCTCCAATTTATCGATTATTATGATTGGTAGCAGTTTTAAATTAAGATAAAAATTAATCATGATTCATCGAATGAAAATAAACTACATCCAATGAAGACAAATCTGAAGTTAATTATTGGCAAGTACTTACCTATTAAAGGTACTCTATTGTCAAGAATTTCCTCAGCTTCCGGTGGAACTTCTACTTCGGCTTTTTTCTCGAGTTCTACGGTTTTACTAACATCTGCCGAACCGTCAGTTTCCTCGGACAATGGCTTGCGATGTTTTCTGAATTTCTTATGCTTTCTCTACCGAAAATCGTCAAAAATATAATTGTTGTACATATAAATAGCTACCTACAACCTTTGATTGATCTGAAGATCCCTCAGCAATGAGAAGAACAACAAAAATGAAGAGAGACAAGTAAAGGAACTTCATTTTTCACTGGTAAATAATTTACCTGAAAAATAAGAGAAATATGTCAGTCATTTTAAACGATTTTATTACTTTTTGGCAACGATTTTAATAGGCAATACATCAGCAAATAACAATGAAATGTCACGTACACCAGGAACCTATTTTTATCGACTTTATGAACACATGGTTTAATGTTTAAAGACAGTGTTCGTTCCTGGAATGACATCATAGTTTACATTACATCCTACGCAAAAAGCTATCAAACTTATTCCAAGCATAAAACGAAAATTGCGAAAAACACTCCCCAGGAAGCCTGGCACAATCTATTTTCGATCTTGAGTCGCGAAGCTTGTACCTGAAGGTGGTGTTCTTGCCCTAATTAAACGGTTAGAAATGTTTACTTTTGTGGGACGTGTTAACTGGGTGCAATACCAATTTTGAAATATTTTCATTTACACGTTTAAAAAACGGTATTTTTTTTAATGTCGTTATATATAGTTATAAAACAATATTTTTTAACTGAATGAACAATCAAATTAAAATGAGTGATGATGCAGGAGGAAAGAGTTATCACTGCCGTTTCATCCGTTACGTTATCAGCAGGAAATGAAGATTGTGCGATCTAAATTGTGCTAAAATTATTCTTAGAAACAATTTCACTGAATAAATGATCTCAAGGGTATCGGCCTTCTGGTAACCACGTATCAAATACATATACTATATTCCAGTTCATAAATACTTCCAGCATCCTCAGCAAGAGAAAAATGGAGTGTTGAATTCATTGAACTTCTTAGAACGAAACTAAATACGCTTCGTGCTGACGTACATAAATCAGATTTTCTTATGCCGCTACTCTGTAATTTGTTGTATTTGAGAACCTAACTGGAAAAGTAAAAATTTGTGGTGTTATTGCACTGTACAGCTTTCTCATTGTTGGACAAAATACTAAGAATTTTTTAACGATTACTACGTTGTATACATTGTGGTTTTTGCATTGTTAGTTGAATTCTGCAATACACGCATTTATTTAACATGACATTCTGCTAATAATAGAAGCATTAACATTTCCTCTATCAGTGGAATATTTGTTATCTAAAAATAATAGTTATAGTGGTCACTTTCACTAAGAAGTACGCAATTTTGGTTATATTGAGAATTTAAGAGATAACATTATCGAGGTTTCTTGAAACGCGGTCGAATGATAACCTCTGACATTAATATTAAAAATGTCTGCTTCATTTCCGAATATTAGAAGACGACACACATGATATAAAAAAATCGAAATTTCGAGAGCACGTTAAATCTCTAAACCTCGTAAACAATCACTGCAATGTACAGCTTTGATTTGAAACTAAAATGCACACTTATGTTAAGCTAAACTTAAAAATTACTCGCCAGTTAGTCATTTGACTCGTTTAGAAGCTCACTGCCAGATGTGGTAATCATATACTTCACATATACTGCATTTACATGTTTGTATTTTTAATAATGAACTCATGTAATCGCATTCGGGACAGTTGATTTAAAATGTCATTCGTCTTGCCAACAATTATTTAACGAGTATCAAGTGAAAAAGTATTGACTTTGTGATTACGTCAATGTTATTTTCTCAAGGATAAATTGCTAGATCGAATAGTTCAATATAACATTAATAAGCTTCCATAGTTTAGTCTGTATGAATTAGGTTCTAACTCATAAAATATAACTGAACCGTGTTTACTTTTATTCTAACTTTAAGTTCATGGGTGATTCAACTCGCACCTTAGTCTAGAATAATAACAATAAGATATGTCACGAGCTTCACTCGCTTCACCTGCCTCACAATAAGTAATAATTGCTTTTACTTTTGAGGCAGATATTCGTAACTGAATTACTTAAAAAATACATGTTTCCAATTAATAAAAATTTTGATACCGATGCGATCTTTTTGAGCTACTTTTGGAAAGACTGCATTTGTAATTTATAATTACGTACCTAATTAATGAACACTCAAACAAAACTACAACTACAACAAAGTATTAAAACATTATACCACTGCATTATTTATATATGAGTCTGTTTTTCTAATTTCAGCAAAAAAATGCTGCATTAAATTAGTAATGTCAAAGTCCGAATTTGACTGGTTCGACACAAGAAATTCCGATATCCACTTATATAAGCAAATCTTTTATTTCAAGAGGTATACTGTAAATACATGTACTAGGTGTGTTGTATTCCAATAACAATAATCTTATCTTTTAAGAAACGTAAATACACTGTGTCATATTACACATAATTCTCATAAAGCTTACGCTAAAATAAACATCTGTGTGTGAAACTGAATATCTGTATTATTGTGCTGTTTTAGATTTTCTATTTGTAAAACACAAAAACAACAATATATAGATCTGAACTTACATGGTGCTGTTAAAAATAAAACAAAAAAATATATTTTGAGATAATGAAGAGCTTGGTATTCAAACAAAACCGAAGTCATAAACACACAGGTAAATATGTAACCTAAAAATAATAAAATAAACAATTATTGCGATGCTAAGTTTACAAAACAAATAAAAGAACAGCTTTGAGTGGATATGCAACAGGAAACAATGATCCCTAGAGTACTGAAAAATAGGTACCCTGTTTAACATACTCCTACACTTGTGGTTTATGAATCCGTGTTGCGTATTAGACAACCAGGTTTTTGAAGAAAAAAAAATTATAGGAAAACATTACAATTTAATTTTTGAAGCGGAAAACCGAATGGTACGAAATTAAGCAAACGTTTTTTGTGTAAGTAGCTGCCGTAATATTTCAGATTCTTGTTCTTTACCAAAAACTAGAACAGAAAAAATACATCTGTATACATTTAGTCTATTGCATACATTTTTAAAATTCCTGGTGAATAACAAGAAACTGCTAAATGCTGTCAAATTGTCAATGTCACTTTACTGTAGTACCACTACTTGAAGACTAGTTACTTATAATAAGTAGTATTACGTCTAATGATGCGGAAAAAGTTAAACGTCCGTGTAAATAAAACTGAAGATGATTATTTACAAATGAAACATTACCTAGATGTAAACGTTCCCGAAATAGCTATAAATCTCCCAGAAAGTGACGATTATAGGTAGTAGCAACGAGTTAATTTCATTTATTGTGTGTTCCAGGGAAAAATCTGATTTTTTACTTGTTATTTTCCGACAAAGTAATTTTGCAACAGTTAACAGAAAATACCTACATCTTTCAAAATACGTAGCAATTAAACGTTAAGTATCACTGCGAGAATTAACCCTTGAGAAATAATTAAAAAAAAAAACAAATACTTCTGTTTTGACTGACAGTTAAAATTAAAACAGATATATCTATCAGATGTGTATCTTTTGCTTGCCACATTCGTGTTCTGCAAAAAAAGAACGGTCAGATGAACAAACAAAAATAAATAGCAGCTTACGTTTACAACGACCACCAAAAATTTTTGTCTTTATACAAAAATGATTATTATTTGAGGTCAGTGGTGTATTTTTGAAATATGTTAAAGTTTTGTTAGTAAACTGTAGCTAGTGAGTGGCAAATTACAAAAATTCTTGTTAAAGATACAAAAATAAAGACATTTGTGTTACAAAACTTTTAAACTATTCTCTTTTGTATTGCAATAATGTCACTTCAATGTCAATAAAAGTGTCTTTACTCAAAATATTCGACGTGTTGCTAACAAAACTGTGTTTCCACACACAGTTTTCTACGTAGATGATACTATCATTGACAAAAACATAACAACAATCGGTCGCTCCTTGTTTAAAATATATACATACTGAAGTTGAACTCTGGTTTTCTGATTTTAGAGAAATAGTTTGGATATAGATAGTGAAAATAAAAGTAAAGTCGCAGAAATTATCTTATATTCGAAGTTAACATGACAACATCATAGCAAAATGTGTCTACTAAAATCTCGAAAAACACATAGGTACATTAAAAATGTAATATATACACAATTTTCTCTATGTATACATATGTCATAGGAGTAGTTTCTTTTTAATAAATCATCATCATCTTTAATACATTTTGGTGGATTTTTTATCAGATATAAAAAAAATTAAAAATCAATTATATCTAAATCATTATTATTTACGGAAATTTCGGAACGCGGTTATGTTTTCAGCTTACGAAACTATAAATTGTAATAAAAAATTGTTGACTTTTTTTGTTGGAAATGAAGTACACTAAAGGCAGTTTCTATTTTTAAAAAACTGCTCGTACACTTTTTGAGGTAACAGAAGATATATATTTTTTTAATTTAAAGAAATTAGCAGCATCGGATTGAGGACATGGAGGTCCACCGGGAAATTTACAAAGTGGGGCCCTGTGATATTGTATACAGATGTTGTTTGGGTATTATTACTATTATTATTTTCAGTTTTGCCGGCGACATTGGCATTTTGAAAAAATTATGTTGTTTTTGGAATTTTGATGACGCTACCAAAAAAAACAAAGCTAGTACATTCTCGTAACACCTGCGTCTTCAAATATGAAATATATTTTAAACAGATAACCGGAAAAAATATAGATATTCTCAATTTCTCAGTATATGCTTAACTTCGACTGTTTATGTTTGTGCTTCGATCGAATTCGATTTTTAACACGTTCAGATTACAAGCATCGGGGGTTAAAAGAAAATGGAATTTGGTTGATTTTGTGTCCTCAAAGCAGAGGAAAGGACACAAAACAATCTTAAAATATCTTCACGATTTTACAGCATTCGGTTTTTACAATACCAAAGTTAAATTGTAAAAAATTGTTATACAGTGTTGATTATTTTTCCAACAATCTAGATGCTAAGGGCAAAAAGTCAACACCGATTCATAAATCAGACACGCAGGACTATGTTATTTTACAAAATTTAAAGAACATTTGTTCGGTTGAATTCTAAGATGACGTCATAATTTTTTGGGAAGGCCTTAGTCGAACAAATTTTGATTAACGATTTATCATCTTTCCTACAACCTTGAAAAGTACATGGAGTATGTAATTCTATAAAATTTAAATGGAGTATATAATTCTATAAAATTTAAGGAACATTTGTTCTACAAAATTATAAAATGACGTCATCATTTTTAGAGGCCATAAATGAAAAAAAAATTATTAATGGTTTACCATGCTTACGATAATCTTAAAAGTTTGCAAGTTTTCAAATTTAGTAATTGTTATACAATTTTGATTTTTTTCTCAAAAATCTGGAGGTCTAGGGTGAAAACTCGACACGGATTCATGAATCACATATGCAGGTGCATACGTCCTATAAAAATAAATATATGTATATATGTGACCAAAAAAGGGGCAAATTAGTAGTAGTAAGTAAAATGGTATGTTTCACTCCACATTTTATTTTTTTTTATTGATTGTAAGGTGTTCAATGTCAACGGTTTCTTTATGGATCCGCTGGAATCATGGTCAAAATCTTAAAATGGGGTAAAAAATGTATTAAAAAAAACATTTTTTTTATAAAAACGGAATAAAAAACGTCAACGTCAAAATAGGTCTGTTTGCTTAAAATAAATGAAAAAATAGGTAAAAAATAGCTTAATAAATAAATAAAAAAAAAATGTGGGGTGAAACGTACCATTTTACTTTCCACTGACTTCAATTTAGAAATTTCATCTAAAACGTCCAATAATCCAATCCGACTCGATTCAGATGAGAACTGAATTTGAAATAACAAACAGTGCTTTTGGAATCACCAAAATTTATCTTTGGTAAATATAAATTAAAGAACATTTATTCGGTAAAATTCTAAAATGATGTCATTATTCTTTTAGAGGGCAATAAAAGAAAAAACGATTTACCACGGTAACGATAGCCTTAAAACGTTTGCAAAATTTTAGAGCATTCGGTTTTGCAGTTTCAAAGTTAAATTGCAAGATGTTGCAACTTTGATTTTTTCTTCAAAAATCTGGATGTCTATGATAAAAACTTAACACGGGTTCATAAACCACATGCATGTGGAGGTGTATCCTATTTTATAAAATTTAAATAATATTTACTATTGTAAATTTTGGAGATGACGTGAACAAATTGTTGGTACGGATGATTAGCCAAATTTTAATTAGCGTTTTACCATCTTCACGATATTCGTAATCCACACATAATAAAAATCCGAACAAATGGCAGTCAGACAGACGGAAACGGGAATGCAATTCTAAAATTATGAAAATTCAAGAAATACTTAATGTGATTTATTACGAAATTATCGATTTTCAGGACAAAACCTTTACGACAAATTTTTCAAAACTTTTTCAAAAATCGGTAGATTTTTGACAATTGACAATATAGCCGCAAATTTTCCCATATATAATGCATTGCTTATGGTTTTTTACCCAAAGTGGAGTGTGCTCTAGTTAAATATTTATTACTTCCTGAAATATGTTTTTGGCAAAATTAGTTTCCTGCAAACTATGTACTAGATCCACCGAATTTCAATTCAAAATTTAAGAATTTTACACTGTACACGTGCTACTAATTATTATTATGTCATTTTACTTTTTAATAAACTACCAACAATAAGTGAAGGTAAATCACATGTCATTTTACACATATTTCACATTTGTCGCTTATTGTGGTTACACGGTTTTCTCTTGAAACTGAAACAGGGTATCGCAAATCTCTGCTAATGATTTAACCGGTAATATTTAAGTACACATACACATGGTAACCAAAATTTAGCTCGCTGCCCGAAAACGTATAAACTGAAACATGCACATGTGTTCCGACATCAAAACGTGACCTATTGTTCCACAAAAAATTTTAAAACAAGTAAAAAACATAAACTTTGCTTTCTAAAAAAAGTAGTTACGATTTTCAAAACCAAAAAAACATCAAAGAAAAAAATCTCATTTTAATAACTTACCAGCCTCGACCCCGGCTCGACGAACCACTCCGATTCCACGCACCAACTGGAATGAAATAATATTCGAATTTCCACCAGCAGCCAAGGAAAGAGATTGAACAAGCAACGATACAGCGCCCACAGATCATTCGCTAAGAAAACATAAACCGCCGAATTGTTCACTCCAGCTGCCGTCTTCCATCTCGCTTCCAGCTTCCTACATGGCCATGTACGAGCGGTACTGTACAAATAAACGACGTGTGTAAAATTAGGACTTGTGATGTTTATACGCAACACCATAACCGCTTTGCTTATACATTACTGAGTTTAACATATGGGCGACCCATATGTGGTTTTTTAATTTAATATCATTTTATGACATCAGTTTAATTGATCGCTTAAGAGACGAGAGAAGCAAATGTTAAGTAATTGCTTTGGATTTTAATCAGGAGGGGTTTTATTAATGGAAAATATTTTGTAATTATGGCTAATAATACGGAACAACGATTTTATTAGTAGAAAATGTGCCACCATGCTGCGAAGGTGTGGAGTACAATAAACATTTTTTAATTTTATTTAGTTTTTATTGGAGTCGTGTCACAGTATAGTCGTGTTTTCGGGCAGATTTAGGTTCTCATTGTTTATTTACCACAATAAATCTTAATAACAAATATGTTGTTTTTCTTATCAATATTTTCTACACGAATTCTGCATGAACTATTCATGTAGGTATGCGATAAATTGACTTGACAAGTTTCCTATGTAACCGAATTTTTATATTTTTCAAAAATCCTGAATTACTTAATTGACACTTAAATAATTTTTTTCCAGTGAAGCAAAAATTTGATAATATGTAATAATAAAACACAGTTGTCTTGAATTTTGCACATTTTAAATTTGAATTGTGTAGAAAAAATAAATTCTTGAAGAGAGAACATATATACATATATGGTGCAACTCAGTCAGTTCAAATTCTTCAGAGGAATACTATGGGGCAGAAGGAAAATCAGGCACATATGAAATCAATTAAGCAGACTGCCATAAAATATATTAGACAACACAGAGACTAAGCAGCACGTATTCTTTGCGTACTATTTTTGTATACTAATAAAATTATATAATTTACAAGTGTCATTTAGGTCAACAATGCTCGAATGACTTCCTTAGTAAAGATCGAGAAAATTTATGACAGATGTGCCGCCTTGAAATTGAAATTTATGTCAAGTTCAATGGTGTTTTCAGGAAGACAATGTGAAGAGTAGATACTCCCCCTAATTGTTCTGCTTTTAGTAATCGCAAGACTGCGGCACATAATTAATTTATGGTTTTACGTGTTACGGACATACGGTTTTTAACTTCTAGGTTGTAAAATTTTATTAGTGTGTAAAAATAGTGTGCTTACAATACATTATTCACCTAAAGTTTGGTAGATTGAAAGTTCAAGTGTTGTCTAACATATTTTCAAATTCAGTTTTTCTGAATTTGTCAGGACTAATTCTATAAACTACAACTTTACCAACATCTGCATATACGTATATGTATCATCATTTATCAATCATCATGCATCGTGATCAGCTATTCTTTTCAGTATTCAAAAAAATTGGTCGAACTTTCCTTTTATGAATTTAAATTTGTTGATTATTTTGGTTTTTTCAGAATCTCATGTTTTTCTTTTTCCTCTTTTAATCTTTCTTCTTGTTATTATTAGTATTCAAACTTTTGATTCAAACTTGGACACCACAGTACTAATAATAATGTAATATCCCCTCTAAGACATTTCTGTATCTCACGGTCGAATCGAAAACTTTGATTCCATTTTTTTCTTCCATTTGTAAAACATTTTTTGTTATTATTTGATTATTGGACGGAATTTCGTGAAAATAATTTGTCACTTCAGTTGTTATTATTATTACTGTTAATAGCCCTTTTCTTGGTTGGCCTGGCGAATTTCAGTTTCCTCCTATTCAACATCTACAAATAATTCAACAGATATATATCCGCCGTTTTAAATATTTAGTAGGTATAATTTCGAAACGAGTCATTTTTCCCTAATGAAATTTCAACGAACTTTTCAAATTTAATCTACTACGAGCCCTAACAACTAAATATTGAGACACAGACAACTTCTCAAAAAAATCCGGTAGATATTTTTGATATCATTTAATTCGTTTGGACTAAATGCAAATTTTGCATGGGCATCTATTTTGGCAGAGAGTGAGGTATTTTGCAAATTAATAAGTTTTCTTAGAGCGCAAGAATTGTCACCTAACTAAAAAATGTGCAATTTTTGCTGACATTTAAATGTTAGGACACCCGAGAAAATTTGCTAAGTATACCATCGAAATACAAACGTAGTAGCTGGTAAATGCTGCCATTATTATAGGGATCGTAGCATTTCATGCTAGTGTTGGTTTTATTTAGAAAAAAATAGTTAGCGGCGGGCTAGTTTTAGTAAAAGTTCTGAAAATAATAATTTCGCAGTACCTCAAGGGAAAATCGCTAAGAAAAAGTGAAGATTTGTTCCAAATAGCTTAGTCGTCGATGGTAAATGTCGTAAAATATTACGCAGACAGAGGTACCATCGGAATAAAAGGTAAAATTCCCGGTAGGCCACCACTTGTGAAGCCGCGTGATCAACAACAAGTGATGAAAATTTATAAAAGTGGACGACAGAGTACTTCAAGAGAAATTACTACTTGCTGGAATAGCGATAACCAACTAAATTTTTCAAGACAATATTGTCGCGAATGCATACACAAATCAGGCCTTGGTTTTTACATGGTAAATCTTAAATAAAGCTACCTTTGATGGACTTTATTATTTATTTATAAAAGTAAAACCACAATTAAAAACTGCCCACAAGAAAAATCGGTTAATATGACCAAAATAAAAATCGGAGAAAAGTGATATATAACGCTGAGTCCAAATTTGATGTCTGGGTGAGATAATAGTCGAAAAAGAGTTTTTGAAATAAAAAAGGAATTTTAATATGGATTATCTCAAACAAAGAGTCAAGTTTGCAAGCGGAAAATGGTTTGGGGGTGCATGTCTATTAACGGAATTTAAAGACCAGTTAACAACGTTCATGGAAAGGAAATTACAAATTCAAACAAATATCAAGAGACTTTGTAAAAAAATATTAACAACTACTGAAGCAGTCTATCCTGTTGATATTTATATTTTTCAACAGGATGATGCTTCAAGTTACACACCTACAACACTTTATTACAAAGAATAATAATATAAATGTTTGCCCTGATTATCGAATAGCCCAGATCCTAATCTAATAGAGATGGTATGGCGTGAAATAAAAAAATATTTAGGAAATCATCCGTGACAAGCGATTATCAATCTTCAACAGCAAATTTAGCGAGTCTAGGATACGGTAACAACTCCTGTGTATTGTAGAAAATTAGTTGAAAGTATGATGGCAAGAATTCCTGCTGTTATTAAGGCAAAAGGAGATATGACCAGTTACTGAATTTGCTGTGTCCCAATATTTATGTGTCACAAAATGTTACGTTGTTTTAGAGTTTTATGTCACTGTTTGAGTTAGAAATCAGTTTTTGTTGTGCTGTAAACATTAACAGTTTTGCAAAACGAATTAATTTTAAAATTTTAATTATCTAAAATAAATTACATTTTTGTTAAAAAGTTTGGTGATTTTTTTATAAACATTTTTTGGTGTCCCAATATTTAGTTGTTAGGGCTCGTACTTAAAACGAAATTTTGAATCATAATTGCTACAGTAAACAAAACGATGAGAAAATTCTGTAATCAAAAATTAACTTCGTGATAGTAGACAAAACTTTGTTCTGAAGTAAAATCAAGCAAAAAAAATTTTAGAAAGAATAGATAATACCAATGTAACAAAAAAAAAACAGGAGGCTAAAAGGAGATCGAATTCGTAACATTCGTGTTAGTATCCCGTGCTCTGATCTACTAAGCTGTGAACAGTAGGAGGACATAGCTCTTAGATTCGTAGAATTGTGATTTTTTTGCGAAAATTTAAATAGCATTGAGTACATAAATTTTGTGGGCGGGAATGATTAGACAAATTTTAGTTAGAGTTTTACTATCTATACGATATTTCTTCCCACTCCCAGCATCCCACATCTAAATTTTGACACCAATCGATTCAATACTTTGTAAATTATCTGGCTAATAAAAGTCGACGCAGACGATAAACACACGGTAACGTGGATCTGTTTTTTCCTACTCTGGGGGTCACAAAACATCGAGAAATCATTAAACCAGTCGTTCGCCGAATGAACCCTATTACAATACTTTATTGCATTCATACGTTGATCGATAATTAAAATCGGCATATTTAAACCCATACGTTCCTCTGGATGGCTCGTGAACGCCGCTTCGAGGTTTTTCTGGACCCCGCAATCGGGACTTCCGGCAATCCGCTCCAGGGTTTTCTTTATGCGAACGTCGCGCGGCCGCCGTCATCGATGATGAGTCACTCATCATCGCCGTACTTACTAGAACGTCCTCAAGAAAACCCATAGGGGTCGCACCGGGGCGGCGTATGGGTTTATTTCGTAACAATACAATACTTAAGTAACGATATGGGTGATGAAATTGTTAACAAATTTAACTAAAGATGTGAGGGGAAGAAAGAAGGGACAAGAAGAGTACAGCACAAAAGGAAGTGCTCAGAGCCGAACATGGAAAAAATGGGATCACTACATAAAAGGCGAACGTAATTTGTTATGAACGGAAATTAGACAAAAAAAAATGTAAACCATAATATGTATTTATTATAGAACGGAATAAAACAAAATCTGAATTAGTTAAACTGGAAAATAGGTCGAAAATATATTGGTAGAATGAGAGAGAAACATAAATACGTTCATTTCGTATAATCACTTTCTCCTATGTATGTTGTTGGTTGCATCTAAAAAAAAAAAAAACAAAAATTATGTATTATACATACCATACTTGCATAGTGCATATACAAATATGTATATACCGTATGATTTTTTAAACTGAACATAAGAGGTGGCTCTGGAAAAAAATGTGAAAAACTTAGGGCGTAGTTTAATTAGTTTAACTACAATTTGGGCAATGACATTGACATTTAAATAAAAAATGTCAAATTTTAAAAATTATACGGT